CGGAAGGAAGATGGGGCAATCTACTTCCGTAGTGATACCTCCTCGGAAACCCTCCCATGTGTCCTGAAATGGAATCCATGAGCAGACCCCAGAACCAGGGTCTCTGGACCCCTGCCTCTATTCCCCTATAAGGCTCCAGCAAGCTGGCTGTGTCCCTCTTTCCCCAAGAACCTGATATGCTTGTGTGGGGTCTTCACACATGTTGTGACCTTCACCTGGACTCGTTTGCCCTTAATCTTATCCTGGTCAAAGACTGGCTCCATACAGCCATTCAGGTTTCAGTTCAATGTCACCTTCAATCTAAAACTCACCCTAGCCACACCTTATCGCCTCACCTGGGTTCACACCAGCCTACACTACTGCCTTTACGGCACCTGTTACCCAGAAGTGTCATGTGTGCTTAAGTGTTTATATGTTTGTCTCCATCTAAGGACTGGTGGGGTAGTGGTTAAGGCATTTGGCCGCTAACCAAAAGGGGTCAGTGGTTCAAACCCATCAGCCACTCCAAGGAACAAAGATGAGGCAGTTTGCTTCTGTGAAGATTTACAGCTTTGGAAACCCAGTGGGGGTTGATATGAGTCAAAATCTACTCAATGGCAGTGAGTTTGGTTTTGCTTTCAAGGGACTGAGAAGTAGTGGTTTCAAACACGTACCCTAGAAACATACAGCTCAATTCAGATCCAAACCCTACTCTTTCCCAGCCCTGTGACCTCAGACAAGTTACTTAACTCCTCTGGATTTCAACCAGTTTCTCCATCTGTAAGACGGGGCAGGGCTGGTTATGAGACAACATGTGCAAACACTCAGGACAAGGCTGACGTACAGTCAGGGCTCAACATGCTGAGCAAGGTTCTAGAATGTGCGTCGCTGTCCTCAGGGACCGTCGCCCATCACGCTGGCCACTCCCTGGCACCATAAGAAATGTCAGGCACAAAGCACACATTTGTTAAAGGAAGAAAGGAATGTCCATGGGGAAAATACTCCAGACCCACGAGACAGCTCTGAGCGGGAGAACACAGTGCCTCGTGCACCATGCTGGTAGACCTTACTCCATCCTCCCCCCACCTCCAGAGCCTTCTCTGTGGTCTGCACATCCCGAGTTGGCTCATTTCCTGACACTGTAGCTCCTCCCACCCCGGCCTGAGCAACCTCCAAGTCAGCAGTGATGGACCACAGTGTCTGCTCTCCGCCCTGCCAGTGACCGGGGTCCTTGGACAGGAACACATAAGGGTGTTTTGCCGACTATTAAGAGCAATACAAGGGTAAAGAGTCATATCCCAGGGAACAAACAATGTTTTCTAGGTTTTCCAGAATCAATAGCCATGATTTAAAAAATCCACAATAGGGTGAGTAGACAGGAAGCATTCCAACACTGTGTCACTCAGTGTGGGTGGCCCAACACTGCTGTAGGACACGTCACTGCCCCATCGCTGACCTTTCCATGCTGCCACATAACCAAGGCAAGCAACTCTTTCCATTTCACAGATGAGGAAGCTGAGGCTGAAGAGAGACAAAGGGGCTTTCCCTGGGTCTTTCTGGACAGTTCAGAGTGCCCTTGGCTGCTGCCGCTGGGTGAACTACAGCCTGGACCTCACAGCAGGCCGGTCAGTGCTGCACTGAGGCGGGAAGACACCACACAGAGCAAACTAGTGTCTCCTTGGGGGAGCACAGTGGGCATTTCCCACCGGCATTGCAAAGAGAGAGAAGCTAGGTCTGGTGGCTCCTGTCAGGTGAAGCTAGCCTGGCCCAGCCCAGATCAGGACGGCTAGATGCCCCTGGGCTGCCTAGTTACAGCTTTGCTCAGTGGGCAGAAGAACCAGTCAAAGGACTGAGCCATGGTGTCACGGCTGGCTGCACTTTTAAAGCTACAATGGTCAGTGACCCATCTCTCCCTGTTTGTAAGAGGGTGCAAACGACAGGAGTTGTGACAGATGTCACAATTCCTGCTCTCTCGCTGCCCCTTCCCTGTCCCTCAGTGTCCCCAGCCACAAAATAGTGTTGTTGTTATTAGCTGCTATTGAGTCAGCCTTGGGCCCATGATGATCCCAGGGGTTACAGGGCACAACTGCTGCACAGAATTTTCGAGGCTGTCATCTATACAGAAAGAGTTTGTCAGGCCTATCTTCTCAGAGCCACTGGGTGGGATTGAACCACCAACTTTTAGGTTAAGCAGTCAATTACAGACCAGTTGTACCACCTTGGGTCCTTGAAAGACTGTTATTGTTGGTAGGTTCTATCGAGTTGATTGCTACTCAAAGCGACCCCACATGACGGAGTAGAACTGCTCATAGGGTTCTCCTGGCTGTAATTGTCATGGAAGCAGATTACCAGGTCTTTCTCTTATGGAACTGCTGGGTGGGTTAGAACCACCAGCCTTTCAGTTAGCAGGCAAAATAGTAAATGTGCATGATGCTTCTTAGGGAGGAGGACCATGGGAGGAATGGACCAGGTGATGGAGATGGCGAGCTCAGAATGTACCGGAAGCCTGGGAAACGTACATGATCTGCATGTAGACATGCAGGTGAGCAAATCTCAGCTGTCCTTGACTTGTCTTGTGAACACCTCTCCTCCTTAGTGGAGACCACAGCCCACGTGCTCAGGCTTCTTGCCCCACTTCTAGCTCCTAGCTTATGTGGGACCTCCATTTCTAGAATATTGGGTCTTATGACTCCCAGGATTTGACCTAAGCCTGTGGCTCAATACCCTGCCCTCAGCCAGCCTGCTCTCCTAAGTTTGTTTTTTTGGAGAAAGCACTAGACATACCCCCCACCTCAACCGTGAGGATGGATATGCTTCGGTTGTGACTAGCAGACCCCAGAGAAGGTTCGTTTTGCTTTCCCAAGCAGTGGCCAAGAGCATCAAGCCTTCCTTCCATCCCATTCCATCACGAGGTCTCAGCCATCTAGACTTGCCATTTCCCCCACACACCCTGCAGCCCTGTCCATCCCCATGGGACCCAAGGTAGCTGGTCGTCTGTGTTGCTTCTACAGCTCCCACTTTATGGCCAGAACCCAAACCGGGTGATGCTGTTCTGTCTGGGATGTTAGGAACTAGGTGAGACCACTTCCTGCTTGCCCCTTGTCCCACATGTTTGAACAATGAGCTACTTAAAACCAATGGAAAGGAGGCGAGAGAGAGAAATGATGGGGCAGGCAAAGGGAAGAGGGAAACCATATCTTCTACTTGCCTGAACATCAAACTCTTGAAGGAGGCCGGTGATGGTCTGTGGAGAGACAAGAGAGGCAGTCAGTTGTGTCTGTTTCCTGGCCAGAGAAACCATGCTGGAGAACATGAGACTTCTCCAAAGCTTGAGTCTCTATGCGCCCTCCCCTATGGGTCCCCTGATTCCAAACAAAGTGATAATGTCCTTCTCAGCTCAAAGAAGAGCAGCCCAGAAGAAAAATCAACACCTCAGCTGGACTCTTTTCTCACTACAGTCTTGCTATACCCAAAGTGCTGAGCAAAGATCTGAAGATCTAAGTTGACCACAAGCTCATGAGATCCAGAACTATAACTGTTTATTAACTGTCTCCCTATTTCCAATCCATGTGCTCCACTTTAAAACATAAACCTGACCATGTCACTGTCCTTAAATTTATTTTCATGGCTGCCTGGCATCTGGATTAATATCCAGTCAGTCATTCATGAACTGCTCCTAAGACACCATGGATTTGGATTCAGGTCCTTGCGTACCTCACCAGCTCTAGCTTCTGACTCTGTGTGTTCTTTCCTGGTACTACCATTCTCTCTAATCACATGTTCCCACACCCTGAACTCTCTGAAGATGCTCTATCAAACCTATGAAATCAGTCCTAGTGGCACCTCTTTGCAGATGGGGAAGTAAAGCATAAAGAGGCTGAATGATTTGCCAGTGGACACCAAGCTGCCAAGTGTCACAACTAGGATTTGAACCCAGGCAGCCTGGTCTTAACCACTAGCTATGGGTAAGGAGAGTCCATGGCAACCAGGCTTCATGAGGCATACGCCAGAATCACAGAATGTCCAGAGGATGCAGGCCTTAGAATACTTGCAGTATGATGTCCTCACTTTATAAATGAAAGCAGTGAGGTGTGGCTAGAGGACCAGAAAGGTGGTCAGGGGAACTAGCCCACGGTCTCTCAGCACTTACTGGCCACACCAGGACTAACTCAGTGCCTGTCACCCTTCCTGTGCATTCTTGGCCAAAGGGACCGATTAGAAACAAGGAAGCAGTGGCTGTGTGCATACGCATGTGTGTGCATGCATGTGTGCACATGGATGTGTGCATGTGTGCACATGCACACGTGTTCAAACGTGTGTATTGTGATGGGAGAGTAGCCAGCAGCATCTCTGCTTACCTCCCCTTTCTCCACCAGAGGCTTCACCTCGGCGAGGTCCACGTCCTGCAGATCCCGAGACATCTTCCTGCTGTCACCTGCCTGAGAGAGACAAAGGTCAAGTCAGTGCTTCCCACTGAGAGATGTTTTCCAGGGGAAGTGAATTCAAGGGAAGCACAGGAGACAGGCAGAGGTTGGGCATTAATTCTGCCCCAGCCACCTCTGCTCCTGCACACAGCATCCCAGGCTACAAGACCAGTCCAGACCCAATGGCCTGCTCCAGTCTGACCACCAGGGGCTGAGGTGGTATTTTTACCAGGACAGGAAACTGAGGCTCATGGATGCAACCACCTTTCTGGCAAAACAGATTGGTCAGTACTCAAAACCAGGCCCCTGCACCAAGTCCAGGCCCAACACCTACCTTAACAGAACATTTCTCACCGCACTTTAGGGAGACTCTGCCTCACAAACCCGAGTCAGGCCACCCCACAAGGACAACCAGGAAGAAAGGCAATGGAAGCTCAGAGAACATCCACCACTGGCAGGCAGGTTGTGTGTTCAGTCTGTTGCATCTTCACAACTGCCTCTAAGGGGTGGGCAGCAACATAGATACTCCTTCCCTCCCACCTCTGTGCATGGCTCTCTGCCCCTGGCTGAGGGGGAGGAAGGGCAGAAAACAGGAACATGTAAGCTCTGTGGGCTCCCTGGTTGGGGACAGACACTGACGCAGGTGGTAGGGGAGCATGTCCCTTTATGGGACATGGAAGCTCCACGTTGGGAACCCTCTCAGACCTCACCCTCGGGATCTTTTCATTTGTATTCTTCATTGATACAATAAAACTGGCATCACACACATAGGGCTTCCCATGAGTTCTGAGGGCTGTGGCGGTGAGTGATGCAACTGAGAAGAGTCGTGGCAGCCAGCAAGTCAGAAATGAGGGAGCCTGGGGGGGGTGTCCAGAGCCTGTCCAGATCTGGCATCTATTTCGCAGTCTGAAGGACAATGTCCTTTTAATTTGACTTAGCTCTGAATGGCTAGTCAGAAAAAGAAGTGCCTCATGGGTGGCTGGTGTTAGAACTGAATACAGAAGTGAAAGAGTGGGGACTTTAGGTTCATTCATGCTGATGATTTATCATGGCATCATCACGTTGTTCTTCTCCAAAGTGGGAACGGGAGTTTCAAGCTGCCTGAGGTCCCACCAATGTAATGGCCAAAGAGAGCATGTGAGCTTCTGAAAGCCCAGCCCGGGATCCTCTGAAAAGCCAACACCCCGTGTTCCCAGGAACCTTGTGAAACAACTCTCGGATGACAGTTGGCAGCAAAGCGGGGGCCACCTCCCACGCAAAAGACCCCCAGTGCCAGCACATGGCATTCCAAGGGCAGCTGTGGCTGTCCACAGGGATGCTCCGGTCCAAGGCCCTGGTATGATTTCGCCCAGTAGATAACAAGTCCCAGAAGAATGTATGTTTGCAGCCTTCAAGTCTCTGCTACAGATCATTCTGAAAACAAAGTCCGTTTCATATTTGTGAGCATTCCTGGGCAGCTGCCAGCTCGGAGGCAGGAGGCATGAAAAGCCAAAGTCTATCGGCCTTGCTAATTCAGCATGTTCATGGTCCCGAGACCCTGGCCCGTGGGACACCTCGCCTACACAGCCCAGGGAACCTTCCAGAAACCAGGCACTGGCACTACCACCCTGCATGCTGGGAGTAAAAGGACTTCACATTTCACAGGCTCCTTGACACACTTTGATCAGCAAAGAACGTGGGGCAAGGGTCGGAGCTCTGCCACCTGGCCCGCAGTGTGGCCTTGGCAGGCCCCACAGAGCAGGCAGTGCACCAGGCTAGCTCGTTTCTCTTCCTCAATTTCCCGGCATTATACCAAGTGCAAACTTGGGCCACAGCTCACTTGCTGGCTAGATGGGCAGGTCTGATGGAGCTTGATAAGCAAGGCTTTTATTTCAACTCACGTTTTTAAATTTTAAATTCACTTTTTACTGGTTTGCACCTGGATGGTGCAAATGGTTAACATGCTCAGCTGCTACCCAAAGGCTGGAGGTTCAAGTCCAACCAGTGGTACCTCACAAGAAAGCCTGGGATCTGCTTTCGAAAAATCGCCCATTAGAAGCCCTAGTGTTCCAATCCCACAGTTCTACTCTCACACACTTAGGTCATCATGCCTCAGAGTTAACGCGACAGCAACCTCAGGAGTTTGAATCGCGGTCCCGAGGTCACACAGACCAGGCAGCCACCGACAGAGCAGCGGTGGACATGTGTCTGATTCTCACACACTTATTTCTTCACCATGCCTCTCCTCACAAAGATTCTTCTATGAAATTCAATTCACAGCTCCGAGATTAAAAGGCTCATTTTAGGAAGCAGTTCCTCAAGTGGACGCTGCTTTGTAGGTGTCTGTGACCTTCGATTAGGACAAAGGGGTGCCCGCCAGTGCATCTGGTCTGGGGGGGGCGGGGGCTCTGGCTGGTGTCAGGCACCAGCCCAGAGCCTGTACCAAGGGGGTCACTTCCTCGAGCCGACTCAAGGCCGCACCAGGTCAGCAAGTTCAGTGAGCGTCTCCCTGGGCTTGAGGTTCAGAACTAGACTCTAATCCCTGCCCCTCTCTACTGCCTTGTGGAAAGTCCCAGTGGCAGAAAGTCAGGAGTAGAAAGAGCCAAAGAGATGACTTAGCAGATGGGGTGACCGAGGCCAAGCCTGGCAGGAACCCCAGGATCTGACTCCCCACCACCTGCTATCCCAAGACTGCCTTTGCTGTCCAAGAGACACAGACAGAAGCCCTTCCAGGCAAGGAATTAGGTCGGGACTGGTCTCCTTCCACTAAAACCATGCTCAGTGGCATACGCAGGGCTCCAGCCATAGCATCAGCTGCCAGATAGGTTTGTATCCCCACTTCTTCTGGTCCACAGCCCTCCCCAGGAAGATTACCAATGTCAAAGAAATGAAAAGTAGCCAGGAGGTAGGGGCAAGGTTGAGGATCAGACTTGAGCTTCACCACGGGTTAGCTCTGTGATCCTGACAAGTTAGCTAACATCATAGCCTCAGTTTGTTCGTCATAAAATGGGCATGATGATTCTTGCTCCCAGAGAGTAGCAGAGGGGTTTAAATTAAACATGGAGCATAGAATCTGGCAAATAGTAGCTGCTTACTCTCTGCACTTTCCTTTGCTTGTTGCTGCAGAGACACTGGGACATCTTGGGGGACACTCTTAAGTCACCAAGTGTCCAGAAAGGAGACATCATACAGAAGGTGCTCAGTAACTATCACCTGGTTTCTAGCTATCAGACCCAACGCATCATCCCAGAGAGCTCCTCTCGGCGCAACATCCGTCAATCAGTGACAAAGGCCCAACAGAGACCAGGCAAACGCCCTTCTGGTCCAACAGGCCCAGGAGGCCAGGAGCGATTCCCTGGCACTCACTCATGGACCCCAGTGGAAGCCAAGACTGGGACTTGGCCAGAGAAGGGAAGAAGTTGCCCCAAGGGTGGGAAGGCGATGGGCAGTGGCATCTTCTTAGGCAATCTGAGGCCAGCCAAAAACTGTGCAGCAACCACAGGGGAGGGAAGGCACACAGAGCCCACTATTCCCAGAAAGCCTGGCAGGAGATGCGGGGGTGCTGGCTTTGAGCGTGGGAACACTGCCTCTTCCTTGCTGTATGATATTGCTCAAGTAATTTTCCTGTCCGGGCTTTGGTTTCCCTACCTGTAAAGTATACATAATTGTGTGTGTTCTGTGAACATCACGTGGTCCACAACATGCTCGAGGCCGATGGGAATCCAGGCAGGAAAGTGCTTCTCAAAGACAAAAGGGTCATGTATACAGAGGTCTTACCATGGTTCCTGCCCAGCTCAGCCCTGCCTGGATTGGCCCCGTGACTTAGACCAAGACCCCCTCTTTCTCCCAGCCTCAGTCCCCATCTGTAAGACCAGGACCCTCCCTCCAGCTCTGGCAATCCACTAAGCTTAAGCCACCCAGGGGGACCCATCAGCATGTTCTCTTGGGTAAGCCCCTGTGGCACAGGGCAGAGAGAAGGCATCCAACAGGGAAATAACCACGTGCTCCAGGACCCTCCTACTCCAAGAAGACAGGCAACAGGTGGGTTCCAGTTAACCACACACCAAACCAAACAAAAACAAAAACAAACTCAATGCCATCGAGATGATCCCAACTCATAGTGACCCCTCCTTGGGTTTCCGAGGTGGTATCTCTATGGAAGTAGATTGCCCAATCTTCCTTCTGAAGAGTGGCTGGTGGGTTTAAACCATCAGCCTTCTGGTTAGCACTCAAGTGCTTTAGGCACTACAACACCAGAGCTCCACACAGACACACGATAATAACAGCAACAAGAACTTTGATGGTGCTTACTGGTGCTTTATGGGTGCCAGCCTCTGGGCTTCATTTGTGCTTCCCAGCAACCCTACGAGGACAGCACCATCATGGGCACCATCTGACAGGTGGGGAAACTGAGGCACGACAAAATAATGAGATGTGTCCCCAAACCAAAAAGCTTGAAGCTGACATAGGTGAAATCCCTCTTTAAGGAGAAAGTTGGCAATGACAACACTTGGCCCTAGACACACACACACACACCTTCACCCTGTGTCCAGGTGATGTTCTAATACACACACACCCCCGTCTCCACCCTGTATCCAGGTGATATTCTAAGGACAAGCTCCATGTAACCTTGAGGCTGTCATGTGTGTGGGGAAGCACATGTTTCTCCCACACCTTGCACAGTCTGCCAGGAGTAGTTAGGCTTTCTGGAGAAATCTGTCTTAAACTTTTCTATTCTCCTTTCACAGCACTCAGAAGGACCTCTGTTTTTGGCTTTCCCCTAAAAAAATACCTGCCTAATATGGAAAAGGCAGAACTTTGAAAAGCACTCACTGCATTGTTTCATTTGCTCCTCAAGGAGGTCCTTGGAGAGGGTGGTACTATCTACCATCCCAACTTATAGAAGAGCAGCACGAGGCTCAAAAACAACGGACTTCCCCAGGAAGGAGATTCGGGAAGAGGAGGAAGAAATGGAATGTGTGGCTTATTGCCTCCTTGAACAACTGTCGCTGTTGCCATGAGACCAGAAGAACTGG